GGCTAGCTCAGATCGATACTGTGGAACTATGGCATTTCTTCGAAGTGCATGCACTGGCATGCATGTTGCCGACTTGCAGTGGCCTGAAGGGAAACGAACTGTCAAGCGTGCGCGCACCACGGCGTGATCTCAAGTGGTGTGATCGATACTGTTGAGCTATGGTAGTCCTTCGAAGTCAGTGCACTGGCATGCATGTTGCCGACTTGCAGTGGCCTGAAGGGAAACGAACTGTCAAGCGTGCGCGCACCACGGCGTGATCGGAATCAAGTGGTGTGCCCCAGAAGGAACGGCAGTCTTGAATTGTGGCTCTCCACCGGTGGCAGATGGCCACGTGGTCCAACTGGATCTACGGTTGATTTGTAGTTGGTGGCCGCCAGGTTACGCGGTGCGAACGTTCATGTTGAAAGTTCGTACTTGCCAGAAACAGATCGTGATCAGCACACAGCTGGAGGATTCGATCTACGTTGTCTGTGCGGCGAGCACCGACTCCGAATCGACCACCCAAATGTGATTCCGAGGAGCTCAGACGACCTACTTGAGCATTCAAATCGCCTGCAAGGATCACAATGTCAGTGCTTTTTGCCTGACGAATGAGCCCGGATAGCTCTCGATAGAAAGTATCCTTCTCCGCATCAGAACTGCAGTCCGTTGGGGCATAAGCCGACACGACAAACAGGCACCGCTTTTTATGCCGCGAGGCATTGAGCTTGATTGAACTGGATAACCGGACGGCGCAGAGACGACTGTTCACTGGGATCTAATCCAGCATAGCGCGTTCAGCTCTGGGGCTGAGTGCAACTCCCACGCCATATATTCCACGAGTCATCTGTTCTGGGCCGACTTTTTGGAATAAGATTGAATCGTATTTCTTAATTCAAATGAAAGTAGACGCTCAACACTCTCATCTGAATGCTTGCATACGCTTCCTGGTCTTCCGTGTGGAAACAAGCCTCCACTATATCAGTCTATCAAACGAAAAGTCGGGGACAGACATGCTCCTGTCTACGCTTCTACGGTAAACGTATTTAGTTAAAACTAATATCGACTCTACCCTCATCTGCATAGCAATATACCTGCATCTGAACCACATCCACCTGTTCGACGTTGTCCATACTATTGTTTTGATTGTTTGATTGATAGAAACTTGATAACACTGATGAACTTGTCAGACTTACCTCTGCAAACATGACGGGATTCATCCAATAATGGGTAATCATAGCATTTTTTTCTAAACATGAACGATGCTTTTTGGTTGCTCCGCCCCAAGTTAGTTGGACATCTTCTTCGAAACAAAACGATCTATCGGCATTAAGGACAATTGACTAGTGAAAGAATGAAATTTGTTTGATTTCAGGTAACGTGTATGGTGAAAGATATTGAAAACGATATTATGATATTTAATTCAAATGGAAAAACACGGCTCTAGGTTCCCATCTCTGCTACGTTACATTAAGCACCCCTACCTAAGTGTCCCCTAATGAGTCACTTGACTTTAATTTTTCCAGGGATTTGAACAGGTCCTCATCAGTACAGGGTTTGGTGCGTCATTCCCACTCAGCCCCGCACTAGTGATATTGCCCCAGATGGTGAAGAGACGTTTGCAAACAAACTTCTAAGCTCGGCCAACAGACCAACAATTAGGCAACGCAACCGAACTACCTACCTATCCTGCAATATCACCAATATTGGGGCTTGCCTCAATCAGTTCGACTACTGAGAGGGCACCGAAATCACTATCCCCCGAATCAAAGCGTGCCGCAAATGTGGGACACCCTCCCACATAGACTAACTGTTCTTTTCAGTATTGATATACCCCCTGTGGACAACTGCGTCCTGCTGCTGGAACCGCGGGTGAGCTCCCAAAATTCCAGGAATAGAGGAGGAATACGGATGATGATGTATTTAGTTGGGTTTAGATGGGATTGAACAGCTGATTAGCAAAGCGATTCAAGCTCGCCAATGACTAAAGCCTGATTACAACTGTAACCAAGACTTGTTGTTCAATCTTCAAATACGAAAAAGGTGTCTCTCAATTTTGTTACGTTATGAGATTAATAAAATCAGTCAGAAACAAGGGTACTAGCTTATACCGCTCCTCCTTTTCTAGCCTCGTTGGAACCTTAGGATTGTTCAGCACTGTTCCTCACCAAAAATATCCCAAAAACGGTTCTTCGTACTTTTGCTTTCGTATCCCGTAAAGCCGATTATACTTGAGAAGGGTGTTGTTGCGCGACTCTTCTTCAAAAACGTCTGTTCTATCTGATTTTGTCTTCGATGCTGCTATTTAGGCAAAGCGAAGACGACAGATATCACTTCTCATGGATACTCGCTCATCACCTTGTTTGCATATTGTGTCATTTGCCTTCACAGTGGTCTTGACAGTGCTTCGTGTTATCAGTGCATTTCACTTCTGCGGACTTTGGCGCAGGCTGGACGCACAATCATTTGTACAATCCACCAACCAAGTGCCAAAATCTTCGAAATGTTTGATTATGTGAGTCCTTTTAGAACAGTTTCTCATCGGCACGCGATAAATTTTCATTTGGGCAATCACCCCGCCTCCCAACAATAAATCTGTCACCGTTAAATCCAGCATGGTCATACTTCGGGAATGGAGTGTCTAAAAATTCTAACTTTCCTTAAAACGCTGCTGAAATTGCAAGGAATGCTGATGGATGGATGTCCTGGTGGTATGTGATGCCTAATGCTTGTGTACAAGCCGAGCAACTCGGTAGGTCTGTGGGAGTTTTCGCCAAATTGTGATATTCATGCTGCCCGCGTGATGTCTCTTAAACCCTCAACGAATAAGAATACTCTATTGCCGCACAGTTCATACATACAACAAAGCTGACTCGAACGTACACCACATGCAGAAAACCTTGGTCTCTGAAGACACTTTTTTTCAGATTTTGTGAGACCATCAAGTCAGCAAAGGTTGAGTGCGGTAGATTCCTTTGCTGAAGAAGGAACTTGGTTACAATGTGAGCGCTGGTCAGTCTCCAAATGGTTACTCTGCCAAAGCGGGGCTTTCGGCCTGTCAGTGTGCGGGACACAGCTAAACAAAATGCGCCTAGCGCCAAATTTCTGAATAACAGACGTTTTAAGCTGACTGAATATCCCATAAAGCAACAGAGAAAGGACGACAATAGAACTCGTTCGAGCAGCCATTTAAGTTTGTACATCAAGGCTACCATTTTCATACCGTATTGTTCAATGTCTTTCGGCTGACGGGAATGGGATATTCTAGCTCGAACTCGCTCAAGGTTATCACTCACTCGGACTCTCGTTCTTCAGCGGAGCAAACCACTGCAGATAAAGCTGTATATTTTGGATACGATAGAATAGGTGACTTGAACTGAACTGAGGATGACGTGAGGAGATTCGGTAATTTCCAATAGAGATTTCGTATTTCAGTGAAGCCAGTTAATACTGAGAAGCCGAGAAGCATTGTGCAGCTTTTAATCCTCGCTCGGCATTATTCGCGATGCGCTTCTTGCAAAAATCCGTGGCCATCCGGGGAGTGGCCCAAAACCTATCCATTTGACAACGAGCAGCTGATCGGCAATGTGATTAGCTTTCAGTTTGACAGGAATTGTTGTGTTCAACCACTTTCCGGAAGGTTGTGCGTTTGAAATTCTCTGAGGTTGAACTCAAAAGATCATATCGCTGGTGTGACCTTGAACGGGAGACCTTTTATTCAATTGCCTTCTGCTCTGAAATTTACTCAACGGCGCTCAGTATTCGCACGATGAAACTGAATTTTCGAAAGCTAAGACGTGTCCCTGATGGTCTAAAAGAGACAGGCGATTCAGTTCCGAGTACGAGTCCAAACGTTTGAGTACCATCTAGACATCGGAGTCTCAGCGACGCTAGGAAAGTATTCCACCGAAATTTTTTCGCAATGGCTATGGTTGTTTCAATAAACAATGAAATTCGGTGAGCGCCTGACTCACATACTGAATTCAAAAAGGTGTGTGGGGGTCACAGTGTGCCGTGGAATAAAGGTAATTCAAGGATAATCTTGAGGAGGGCCTAGAACATTCACTGGATGGTTGCTCAATAGGGCAATCATCCAGTCCTTCTCATCCGTTTTCTCAAAGCGCTCAAGCTAAGGACTCCTGGCTGGTTGCAATGACAGGACTTCAAAACCAGTTTAAAGTCGTTTCCCACAGGAGTGATGCCTACCGAACACTGTTGCGTGCTCGTTTATTACACATTGATACTGCATTTGTCAACCGATCATTGCCGAACGGTTAGGTGTTCAAACCACTAGCCGTAAGGTCGTGGGTTGGAAACTCCGTGCTGGAGTTTAATGAGATGGGTACTGATGATGATCCTGAACAAGCATGAAATAGTGTTACAATGTTTCTCTTCTTTCCAACATAGATTGGCTTCACCGACAGGATGAAACTTCGCTCGAAAATCGGTCCGTTTGTTTCATGGTATACCGTACCAATTTTCCATAGAGGAAAATATTGGTAACTCAGGTAGCGTAGATGGTGTGTTGGTTTGTTTGCTGAGCTGGGCTGGGCAATTTGATTGCAAACGTTTCATCACTAATCGAGGTTATATCGTCACTGCGTTATTAGTGTAGTAGGGCGACGGGTTGGTGGTTGTGTGTTGAGTTGCGCGTGTGTGTGTCAATATACGTGCTGCTAACCGAAGCTGACCTTCGATCACGACTAGTTGTTCGGTGGGGTGGCTCCATTTGTTGCTCTGCTATCCTGCGTCCCGGTTCGTCGACGCTTACTTGACCTCTGAGATTGGTATCCCTGCCCTTGTACTATGGTCGATGCTAGAGTGACCTTCGTTCCTGACTCTTCCGAGTTCCGGCTTGGGACCTTTGTTAATCTGACTCCAAGGAGTTCCTTGTTTGTTTGTGAATCCGATATTCGGCTATCTTTGAGTATTCCTTTGCACGTGGTGGTGCGTAAATTGGATCCGGCTCAATGCATCAGCTGATCCAGCCTGCCATGGGGTACCATGCTTAATTTCCCTCCGTGTCTCGTGTCTCAGTGTTAAAAATGTTTGCGTTCTCCTTATTGGATTTGTGGTCTTCCTAGTCCTAGTGTATGGATAATAAGGATAGGAGGTAATGTCCGCTGACGGCCGCGTTGTGTTCCTTCATTCGTATGCTTAACGTCCTCCCGGTTTGTCCAATGTAGAATTTGTTGCAGTCGTTGCAGTTGATTTGGTTTGTCACATCGTTCCTCTTGGTTTTGTCTCGGTTGTCTTGAGATTGGTTTCCTTAGAGTGGCGTCTGGTTTGTGGGACACGATGATTCCCTTTTTAGCTAATGTTGTGCTTGCGAGTTCCAAAGTATTCTTGATGTAGGGAGGAACTATCGGTCTGGTGGTCTGCTCTTACTGTTGCTGTTGTTAGGATATCTTCTGCAAGCCTCTCTTGATAAATATCCTCGGGTATCCATTGTTCTGAAATACTTTGAATAGGTGGTGTTCTTCTTTCTTCCATGGTTCTGTAGTGCTGTATTGTGTCTCCGCGCTCTTCAACAGGGTCTAGACGCAGCTCTGCTTTTGATTTACTGGGTGATTGTCGCTGTAGTTCAGTATTTGGTCCGTATGTGCCTCTTTCCGGCATACGCAGGTTTCCAGAGTCCCACCCACCTTTCTGTTCACTAAAACGTTAAAGAATGGTAGTCAGTAGTCAATTGGTGATGAGACGTTTGCAATCAAATTGCTCAGCTCAGCGGATAAACCAACGACAATACTTCACCAATCTCTGAAGTATACATGACGTTATTATCCCTTGCTGACATATACTTTCGAAAGGTGAGGATGATGTTATACCAAGGCAAATAAGTATTAGGAACCCATTCACGGTGCTGTTCCGCAGTTCTCCAGTTTAAAATCAATTTCACTTAATGGAATAATGTTGGTATACCCCTAAAATTTATGTGTATATGACATTTTATTAGGTGAATCAACCTAAACGTTGTTGCGAATAGATTTCAATTCCAATTTACCATACCGTCGTTTAAAAGAGTCGAATTGGTTACTCACGCATGGAAACCAGTTGATGGGCAAATGCTTACCTGCTCAATTACCATGTGCGCTCATTAAAATTTCATAGGAATGCAGGTGATTCCATTACGCAGTTAGTAGAAAAACACGATGTCAGAAACCTCAGAATGAATCTGCGTTTGTAGCCGAATCGATTGTTACATGTCTCTGAGCGCTTTTTTGATGCGAATGCGTAGCTAAGGTGCGCAATGAAGTGGTGCTATAAATTCACGTTTGATCTCATCTCTGTAACAAAGTGTTAAAGATGTGGTGGGATTAACTTTCAGTTAGGGGTCAGCCACATGACGGCTAATAAGATGGACCAATTGTTCAATAGTTCATAAGCCGTCAGTTAATCCAAATTTGCCGTGTTTGCATTATCCGTTGCTTCACGCTATATTCGATCTCGTCCCTCACATCTAGGATAGACGAGCCCCCGAGAATAATCTACTCTTAAAGTGCACGCTGAAAATGCCCACTCTCCTAGAAGAGACTACTGCTCTCAAGAAACGCAGTTTGAGGAGTACGCATTAGGTGTTCTGTCTCCTGAGAGGTCCAACTACACTCAGATAGTTTTGGTTTAGCAAACTGAAGACAGTATATCCATCCTATTTTTTATTCCAGCTAAACTCCATTCCTCACCTGAGGAACCCTGAAAAGCGCGCTGGATTGGCTAGGTGTTTCACCTNAAATTTACGGTGTTAGGTTGTAAGGACGCCAAAGATATCACTTTTGAATACAGAAGACCGCTGATCAGTTAAACCCTGCCTAATTGACTTTTTCATTCATATCTTTTGCAAGCAGTGCCTACACCTGGTTGGACCTGTGCGGCTCTTGGCTTCATTTCTGTCCAAAGATTATCCCTTTCCAAGTAAAATGTTGTTCGTTGGTAGTTTGAGAAGATTTGGGAACTTAATTGGAAATTTCCCCCTGTCGGCGAAGCTAATCTATGCTGAAATCTCAAGAAGCACTGTACAGCTGCTTCACTGTCATTGGAATTCATCCGCTCTGCGAATCTCATGAGACTTAGAGCTTCGAACTCGCGAACTTCCGGACACAAGCTGACCAACGGCCAACCGCTCAAAACACCAGTCATAGAGTCTCGGTTGGAGGTCTCTTACGGAAATTCCGTGAGATGCGCTTTACAGATGATCTCCAATGAGAATGAAACAACTGTACAATGCTTCTCGGGTTTTCAGCATGGAGTGATCTCACTTAAGGCACAAAACCTTCATCAAAACTGTTATTTGCGGCTGAAAACATTGTTGAAATGGAAAGCAGAGCCGATTCGAATAATCTGCAACGGCTGTTCATTCATGGAGTCGCCCAATACGTATACCGAACGAGTGACGTCCTTACAGTGAAGTGTGCGCAACTTTGCTAACCGACGAATGCTTTCACTGCCACATATTCAGTGACATAGTTGTATCGCAAACTCGTTATCGTCGGTTGACCTCCTAGTAACTTGTGTCGT